AAGTACATGTAAGGTATAGTAAATAGCGGGTGACAAACACAGAGTGAAGTGACGATAAACATAGAGTGGAGATACACGTAGAGTCCATAGAGTCCAGTACATCGAATATGGGTGACGCTGGTGGCGCGGGGGCACGAAGCATACGCTGCGGGCGGGGGCATGTGGGGGCGGTGCGGGTGGTGAGCTTGACATGTGGGCGAAGCAGAACAGGAGGGGGGGTGGAGGCGGTGGCGGAGAGGTTTGGGCATGAGGATGGAATGGAGGCCGTGGAGGTAATGTGGGCGAAGCAAACACTGGAATAGGGGTTTGGGCAGTAGGGATGGTGAGGGCGGTGAGGGCGAAGGCCGTAAGGCTGTGAGCGAAGCACTGATACGGTGTGGGGCGGTTTGGACAATGGGGACTGTCGGCGGAGAGGTTGGGGGGGCGGTGTAGCCAACTTTGAAGCCTATTAATGCTTCTTGACAGGAAAAGGGCAAGAGCAATGCCTCAGACAAAACAAACAAACAACCCTTCGGGATTTCACTGGTGCCGCCCCAGCAGGGGTCAGCGGATAGTTTAAGATAGTCTAAGTGCAGTTTGTTTCGACACTTGGAGGCCACGGTTGCGACTGGGGGAAGCAGGGCGCCCGGCATCGTCCGGCCCAAAACTCCTTCCTTTTCGTTCGCTCCAGGACGTGTCGGTGCCGGCTCGGGCGAGGCCGAAATAAGCGAAATCAAGCGATGGTGTCGCTAACCTTAGGCTATGTTTTTCTGCATTTAGGAGAGTTCCTTCGCAGGTGTCTTTGGGCAAACTCTCAGCACAGCTGCCGCCGCCTACAGAAGCACCGGCCGAGGGTGGCAAGGCTTCGTTGGGGAGCATGATGTGTGACTTGTGCGGCGAGAGTTTGCTTGGGTCCTTTAGCTTGTCGCTGCGCATCGTGGGGCCCGCTACTCTGTGCCCTTCCGGCCGTTCCGGCAGTTGGACGGGAAATTCCTGGATTTCATGCGCAGGTTGTAGCTCTCGACCGGTTCAGAAAAGCTTCAGAAAAAGGAGAGATTGGGCAGCGGCAGGTCCCAACATGCGCAGAGAAGGAAGGCTTAGGTGTTGACGGCTCCGGCATCGCATGCCTGGAGAGGCTAATTTTCAACTTCAGAAAGAAAAAAGGTTTTCCTCGTGGCCGAAATCTTTGCCGGCTCGCTCTCAAGACAAGCTTGTACAATGGACGAATCGCGACGACCCGTGAGCGCGTGGCCTTGGATCCTTCGGTCGACGTCGGCAGCTGGAAAGAAAGAAATCCTCAGATCAGTCAAGCTCGTTTACACGTGACATCCGATGACAGATGGTGGCTGCCTCGGAATACGGTGCTCCTCTTCCAGAAGCTCCCGCAGAGGACCATGGCTACCGCAGTTCCGTTTGCTTCGCGCCACGCACGGCAGCTGAGACCTCACATGAACTCACAGTGCTGAGGACACGCACGGATTGCCTGGGACTCAGTGACAGGGCACGCATGTTGTTTCAGTCTCTTGTTGCAGCATGTTGCAGCCGAAGTGCGCTCAGCGCAGGTTGGAAGAAATGCTAGCACCACCAGAGCGTGATGCAATGGCCTCAGCATTTTGGGCTGAAGCATGGCTATCCATCACGTTCATGCTTTGGTTGGCATTCTGCACATTCCTATCTGCGTGCACCGAGGAGTTCGGCAAGCTGCCGCTTGAGGACACAACTGAGGTGCAGCTGGCTCCAAGTGCACAGATGACTAGACGGATCAGAGTTTTGCCCGCGCAGGCACCCCCAGAGGACGATGACGGTCTGCTGGCTCCAGAGGTTTGTCCGAATGCGACATGCATAAGAACAGTCAGTTTTTCCTGAAACCATTTGGCCATCAGGAGACGGATGGCGATCATCTGGATGAGATTCCTGAGGCAGAACGGCAGCTGATCCTGGTCCTTGCTGTCTCAAAGTGATTTTGTTCAGGCACCAAGGGAAGTGGGAAGCTACCAGCATCAACAGCATCACTACAGCGGTCACCATCAGTACGGTCATCACGGACCCTATGTCTCTCAACTTGCGAGCTACGGATCCCACGGCCACCACGGGCCCTATGCTCTTGCGAGCTACGGCTCCCCAGGCAGGCTTCCGTCAAAGTCTCGTGAACAGCTGGGGGCAGCCGATGCTGTGCTTGAGGCATGTATGGTCAAGGCTGGACTCTGGGGTGATTTGCCGGCTCACTTCCTGTTCACTCGACATTCATAGCCTCTAGGTGCTGATGGCAGCTATGGTAGCTATGGCATGTACAGCGCGGATGGGCCACTTGGTGGCCGCGAGGGACATATGTAGACGTGGAGATCTGTCTTTGCTTTGTGTCCCGGCTCAGGTTTCAGCAACTGTACCAACCGTACAGCGGCTACGCATATCACCTTTCAGGCTTGGAGAGTTGCTGGGTTTGATTTATGCATTGTACTTTGAGAGGCCTTGGCATGGCACCAATGGCGCCTCAGCCTAGTCAGCATGTGCAAATCTCCAGCGGTCAAGCTGGACAGATGGTGACATCTCCCAGCCACCAGGCAGGGTCTACGGGGGCCGTTGTGTCACAGCACACAAGCCGCATGCGGAGGCTGCGCCGTCTAAGCCGGCGAAGCCGGAAACTGCCGCAAAACTTCACGTGACTGGGCAGAGGCTAGTGGAGGGAGTCTTTGATTGAACTCGGCCACACGATGTGCCGCGGTGCCTGCAGGCGGGCTGTAACCGTCGGGGTAAACTACATCGGCACCGAGGCAAGGATGCCACAAAGAAGCGTGAGAGAGAGTTCCAGACTTTCAGTGTTCAGGGTCGGGGGCAACTCAGACACACCGAGCCCACCCAGCAACTGCCACCCACAGGGGGGGTCGGGCGGGCCAATGGCCTGAGGGTTGCTAGCCGACCCCGAATTGATCCTGCTTTGCTTGAGACTTCACTTGTAATCTGAGCCCTGTGACTGTGCACTTCAGTCTTCCAAGCCCAGAGCGATTTCCACACTGCCCCAAAGCAGTCGGGGGCGGACAAGGGCGAGGGAGCAAGCTCCTCTGACCCCACAGCAAGCAAAGAGAGGGACAGACGATTCCTGTATATTCCTGTCCCTGCCACGGACACTGTGAGAACGAGCTGCGCGGTTGCATCAACGACTCCGACACCTTCATCACGCTCCTCACCGAGGCTGTTTGCATCCTGGAGCCTGCAGTCATCTGCAGTCGCTCTCGCAGGACTTCGGCTTTAGCGTGTCGGACATCCGCCAGCTCCGAGACGACCATCCGCGGTGACCTCAGCTGTGGGCCATAGGATGACCTTTCGCGGCTTGCTGATGGCTTTTGCTACGTGCTCCAGAGAGCACGCGGGTGAGATCCAACCGTGGGAGCATTAATTATCAGCTGGGTTCAATGAACTGAGCTTGACCAGTACGTCTGGCACTCGTCAGGCAGCGGATGCCGACAAGAAAGCTCCAAAGCGGCACAAGCACAGGCTGTTGGCGCAGTGAGCTGTGATGTTTGCCCACTTGTCACCAAGGAATATATCCGCTGCCTTGCAGTGGCTGGTGAAGGGTGCTGCTGCAGGCATGGTCCTTGCACCTGCCAGAGAGATGCCAAGTTGAACAGCTCGAAACCTCGGGAGCAAGGTAGATGACGAATGCTCAGGAGGGATGGGCAAGTCAGTCAACTTGTGCGGGGTCAGGGGTGGATCCAACCCTTTTGCCACGGCGCCTCACACGGCCCTGAGCCGGCATACGCTTGGCAGGCATACTGAGAGCAAGAGCCCCTCTTCAACCACCGCAACCCCGTAGAACCCTCTCAACCTGGTGACCCAAGCAGGCCAAGGCGCCTTACGTATTTGCATTTTCGCAGTACAGCGCCAGGAGACCATCTCTTGTTCCACTACAGCGGCCACGGTTCTCAAAGACGTGATTCCAGTGGCGACGAGGCAGATGGCAAAGCCCGGTGCTTAGTTGGCCGTTGCAGCTATGCTCCATTGACACAATACAGAACAGCCAGCACAGCAAAATCCTTCGTTGGCTGCAGAGGACGAAACCATCGTGCCTTGCGACTTCAACAGGTCTGGCATGATCGCTGATGATGAGCTCAGGAAGCCATGACCCGTTTGTGCCGATGGATCCAGAACTGCAAGCATTGCTTCGGCCCTTGCAGGAGAATGCTTGTCGACGGGCTGCCAAAGGGTTGCCGCCTGACAGTGATCATGGACTGCTGCCGCTTGGCGGACTTGAAGCCCATGTCGGTCAATGCCGGCCTATGCTCAAGCTGCACTCATTAGTCCGGCTTTCGAGGTCACAGTGGGACAGGAATGGACCTGAGTTACAAGGCACGGGGATGCACGGGGCTGGTGGGGGCTTGTCTGGGAGTGAGCCGGCAAGAACTGAGAACAGAGAAGGCCAAAGTTCTGCACGACGGCTCTCTGACGATCCGGGCAGTCTCGAGCAGGCTGCGGGATAGCTCAAACGATCTGTCTTGCATATCCCGTCGTCTTACAGCTAGGTTTGGAACAGGCTTGTAACTTACAACACTCTCGAGGGATCGATGCCAACATTGGCAGCGCTGTGAGCTCAATCGGTTTTGACACAGCCAGAAGCACTTGGGGCAGGATGCAGTCGTCTCGACTTCCGTTCCAGCTTCTCCACCAGTGCATTATGTAGTGACAGATCTGAATCTATTTGAGACCAACTCATTGTACTAAATCGCAATTCTGAGTCTATCATTTCCTGTCACCGACGTGCTGCATCCTCGCAGGATAAGTTCTTCCCTGCAACCCTGCCCCTGTCAGTGCATCGACTACGATACAGACCTGACATGTTTAAGTCGTACGCAAAAAGCTGCGAAGGTGCAAGAACACGATTGCTTATGGACTTGTCCACAGGAGTTCACGATGCTATGAGATATCATGTCACCGCTGCCCCGCGCATTCTGAAGAGATTCCACGTCTTCTGCCAAATTGCTGTCGTTCAATCCCTACTTGCTTACGGACTGTGCGGTTTGCTGAACTGCAGGCAGAGGCATCCGACAGGAGCTGAAGTTGTGCTGCTGTCAGGCAGTGGGGACTGTCATGAGTCATGTTCCCTGGCACTTGGATCGCTGGATTTCGCCGGGTCTCAACCCGACGATGAACAGTCTCCACGTGGCACAGGCTGTAGAGATGTCCAGACGAGCACTGACATCTCAGGGGGCGTCGCTGGAAACAAGGCCGCAGGCGCACGGGATGTCATGCATCTCGTTTTGCGACGAATCCGGGTCAATTCTGTTGAAGGTGCGATGACCACGGCTTTCAGAAAGGTGATTTCGAAGAAGAGAGACATCTCGCGCGATGCTCGGACGATGTACGACAGCATGTCATCCCAATTCAGACCATGCCAGGTATCACCACCTTCTGCTTGAAATGCGGAGCTTTCTCAAGCAGCACAGTTTTGATCAGGCATCCGACATGCATTCCTAGCGCAATGGGAAGTGTCACTTTAGAGTCCTTTAGAGCTTCTGACAGCCCGCTGAGCCGAGTGGCGTGGCTTCGATTGTAACAGGGCCCCGAGATGCTCAGAGAGAGGGTCCCGGAAGCTTCGCCCTTTCGCCCACATCTCTAAGACTCTAAGCACAATCGGTACAATGTCAGAGAAAGGCAAATTTGGGGCGTGTAGTAGTGGCGGTCTCTGCGAATTTGGCATCCAGATCGCCCGTGGTTCCTCGAAAGATGAGTTGTCCCAAGAATGCTGGCACGGAAGTGCACTGTGCAGGTGCCTCAGCTGTGCATGGAGTTCCATTTGAACTTTGAGGAGCCATTCCTGCCCGAGGCTCCGCCTTGCCAAAATGTTGACAGCACGTTCCCATGTGATGTCTCGGGAGTACTAGCGGCCAGAGCGACTGATGTGTTAAAGTGATTGAGTAGTGCAAGGCTGGCACTGGGAGTTTTGCTAGATGACAGGTCTTGCGTTGGACGGTGCGCTGTAATGTGCCGGAGCAAGCAGGTCCCAAGCGCCTGCTGTGCTTATCGTGTTGTGGAGGCAGACCCTCCTGTTGCACAGCCCCCTGCACCGTGCTGCTCTCAGCCATGCCACGGTGAGTGACTTCATGGAACGCGACCTTGCAAGGCTTCGAAGTACACAGCGCCGCGCGTTGACTATTGGTGATGTGCTGAGCAAGCATGGGGTGACTGCCCGTGTTGCCCATCTTCTGTGCTCAAGGCATTAACTACTTTTCGCTGACCCCAGGCGGGCAGTCGAATTGATCTTTAAAAGGGGGCTTCATGTGCGCAGAGCTGTGGTTCTATTGGGTGCTCGGCTTGTGGAGGTCAAGGACGATTGTCAGGCTGCATCAACGATTCCGAGACGATGATCGCTGTCTTGAAGGAGTGTGGTCCAGTGGAGTCCTTCGCTGAGTGAGAGAGCCCTTGTCAGCGTTCCAGCGCCTCAGGAGACCTTCAAGTTCGAGGATGGCCAGATCTGTCGACTGCGGGATGATCGCACAAACATGATGCCGACCAAGGCCCTGAAGTGCCTAGAGAAAAGCGCAGAGAAACAACATGTCAGTCTAATCTTTGCTGCTTTCGTCTGCAAGCAGAGGCCAACATACTCTCTGCCATGCGTTGGCTCACCCAGGCTGGTCCGGCAAGTTTCGTAGCTGCGGCTACTGAGCTTCTCAGGAGAGTTGTTATGGGAAGCGGCAGCAGGGAGTCGGAAGCGGAGACGAGCTGTTTCTGCACTACAGTGGCCTGCGCCTTTCTGTGGGTGCAAAGGTACACACGACTTGACTAGACTCATGCCGTCAACTGCTCTGAGGTCACGGCGGCCGCGCTGCCGATCGGAGCGGAGATGAAATCACCGGCCAGGTGCTTGCTTAGCTGGCTTTCTATGTGTTCTATGTGTTCAAGACTCAACTGTGCTCGGCCTTGTCTGCAGGATGACACCTTGATCCCGTGCGACTTCCAGACTGCAGGCACCAGCGATGACTTGCGACGTCAGCGTGGCATGTCGAATGCCCTAGCCTATGGCCTGAGGGCAGATCAGTGACGATGAACTTCACAGCTTGCTGGTCGAGCATTTGCCGGAGGCGTGACCTTTGTAGTTCGGTTGTCTACTCATGTCAATGCCATTGTGCTTCCAGCTTTGTACTTCCCTGAGGCCTGCCGCCTTTGGGTGCTCTTCGATTGTTGCCACAGTGGGACAGCGCTGGACCTCGCGTTCAAGGCCGCACAGCGCTTGCCGCGATGTCACTGGTCGTATGATGACGTGTTAGGTGACCGCTTCTGCAGCGCTCGCCTTAGAGCCTTAGAGTGAAGATGAGTGATCAGCACTCTGGACGTTCGACCGCGAAGAGCACTGTGCACTTCCGCTGTTTCTCTGCTTCCTGCCGCGTGCTGATGTGTCCTCCCCAATCGGGGACTCTTGCTGGCATGTTCGGGTTTAGGGTGCGCAGCCGTTCAGCCAAAATGGGTTGCTGTCGATTCGGTTAGTGATTAGTGTTGCTGGCTGTTGATTGTTCAACCACACGTGATGGACTATTAGTACACAGCAATCAAAATTCCCCGCCTTTGTATGCTGCTGCTGCTACTACTACTACTGCTGCTGCTGCTGCTGCTACTACTACTACTACTACTACTATCATCACCACTACTACTACTCATTTGCCGGTCTGGCAATCTTGGTAAGTATGCCTTTTTGGATTTACGGGGCGGGCTTGGGGGGGGCAAGATGACCGGTCATTTTAGTAATCTTGGGCACAAAGTTTATCAAGATGACTAAGATGATCCCCCCACCCCAAAAGCCAGTCGAAAATCCGAAGCTCGAGTTTGCAAACTCGACAAGTCCATTTTCAGGCTTCGTAAGATGGTCCTACATGACGAAAGTGCTGTGAATACTGAGTAAGATGGATGTTGTCTTAGCATGGTTAAGAGCAAGTGTAGTTGGTAGGTGTGGGGGGTGCCTCCTACTACTACTACTACTGCTACTGCTACTGCTGCTACTGCTGCTACTGCTGCTGCTGCTACTACTGCTGCTGCTGCTGCTGCTACTACTACTACTACTAGTACAACTACTACTGCTGCTACTACTACACATCATACTACTACTACTACTACTACCACCACCACTGCTGCTGCTGCTGCTGCTGCTACTACTACTACTACTACTACTACTACGCCTACTAGCCACCCCCGCCCCCTACCAACTACCTGG